AAAGTATCAGGAGAACATGACAATCGAGGAGCTATTCATTGAAATTTTCACTGAAGGTGAAAAATTCGAAATTTTTGTAAAAGTATTAGGGGAACATGACAATTGCGGAGCTATTCAGTTTTTAACCATTATTTCGATTTATTAGCCAGTTACAAAAGAAAAAATTGGAATTATTAAAAAAAAAAAATCGAATGACGGCGGGACCGAACCCGGGCCGTCGGCGTGGTAGACAAGCACGTTACCATTTAAACAACGCGCTCATTACGAAAATATAATTTCATTAGTGGTATATCTTCAATATATTGAATAGTTTTTTCCATTGAAATTCCACAAGATGTGGTTTCCCCCTTCCATACATTCTACAGTCGGCTAAATTTCAGTTAAACAAATAAAAAACAAAAAGCATTCATACCGCAGAAAATAAAATTCACCCCGTCGACTTGATGGACACCCCAGCATTGCAATAAAAACTTAGTTAATAAAAAAAAAACACCCCAGCATTGCGTGTGGAGCCCTCCCTCTCTTGGGGTGCAGTACTACGATGCCGCTGGGGTCACTCAAACCCCCAGAACTGAGCCTCTACTTTAGTCAATCCTCTCTGCCGGGGAGCCTCTCCTACGAATGACGCCCTCCAACAGTTGAATTTGTAATGTCAATAATTGATCTTCAAACAAAATAAAAAAGCTTCGTTTTGGATTATTAAAACTTTCATATAAACAAAATAAGATCGAACAGAATGTCTGGACCAATGGTGTTATGCCAGCTGTGGATGGGAGGGGTGAGTACAAAATTGTAGGTTACACCACTCACGATTGATCAGGTTTGATTTTCACTGCTTGGCCTCCTGATTTTTCAGTTGGCGCCGTACATGACAGAGAGTTTTATTATGAACGCATTTCACAAAATGGGAGAGCAACCCCAAACAGTTAAAGTAATGAGGAATCGCTATACAGGGGAACCAGCAGGCTATTGCTTTGTGCACTTTCCCACAGATGAGATGGCCCTCGATGCCATGCACAAATTGAATGGAAAAGTCATTCCAGGGTCCAATCCAGTGCGTAGGATATCTTTCTGCTTTTGAGATGATTTTTGCGTTGTACAGAAGTAATTAAAACCTTATCGGGGTCATGTACTGTTTGTCCACTTCAGTAGCGAAGTGGTAAACCGTGATAAGTCAATTTATTTCTTCGGTGAGTTTGTCAGAAATCATTTCACCAATATTTATAAAACTGAGAGACACTCACATTTCACTTTAAAAAGTTTCTCCTTGAGATGTCGAGATTTTCATTGAAAATTCTCTAATAATTCAAATCGTCTTATCATCGTTTTGAATTTCGCTACTGAATTGCGGTGTTTTATTGTTCGCCCAATGCGATTGTATGGTCGATGTGATTCTCATTCATGAAATATATTTCGTTGACCTTTTTTTTCATTAGCATTCACCCAACAGGTGGAAGAACATTGAAATACCTGAAATAACATAAAATATTGAAGATAAAATCCGATAAGGAATCAGACCAACTGAACGTGTGCAGCATTGGACAAATTATTTTCAGAGAACGTAGTTAAAAAAATGATTAATTTAATGAATCTGCAGGCTATTAGATTCCGACTGAATAATGCCAGTACCACGGGAAAGCCAGCAGCAGACCGAGAATTCAGTATTTGGGTTGGGGATTTATCAACTGACATCGATGATTACTCTCTTTACCGAGCCTTCGCCGCGAAATATAATTCAATCAGAACAGCTAAAGTTATCCTGGACAGTTCTGGATTCAGCAAAGGATATGGATTCGTCAGATTTGCCAATGAGGAGGAGCAGGAAAATAGTCTGGTGACAATGAATGGATACAGAGGACTCGGTACAAAGGCCTTGAAGATCTGTAATGCTGTGCCTAGACCCTGGAGCAAATTGGCAGTGTAATTACCAACGATTTTGTCTTGAAATTTAATTATCTGGGGATACACATGCCATATTTTGGTTTTTGCAGGTCGACTCCTCCTCAAATGTCTTCGGAGTACTCCTCAACAAGCGTTAGCAGTGATTCCTATAATTATTACGATACTTCTTCCTACTGGAATAGCTACAGTGCGTGGCAGCAGGGTTACTACGAGAGTGAACCCACTTCTGATAACTATAGTAATTATGTTTCTGAACCGAAACCTGAGGAGGATGATTTAGAACTCATTGGTACGTTTATAAGAAGAGTGCTTCCTTCTCAAATGATAATTAATTCATGTTTCCTATAAACAGATCCATTTCTTCATCAATTTTTATACAGTAGACTCCAGTTATAGTCACGTGCATGGGGCTGTAGGGGAAGCGAATTCAGAGAATCCGATTTATTAAATTGATTCAATGGTTAATTAACTCTCACGCTAAGAAAATTGGCAGCTACCTCTGTCACGGTCAACACAAGGGAAATTCATTTTTCGGTTTTATTTTTCACGGAATTCAATTACTCACCGGACGAAATAATAAATTTTTTCCATCTTTGAGCCCGGAGGTATGTCTTAGAATGGGGGCACTAAAAGATACGCGTGAAAAGAAATTGAGGAGAGGTGTGACTATAACGGGATTCTACTATAGCTTGAAAATGAAAAATAGATTCCCTTCACTAGAGATATTAAATTTATTTATTTTTGGGGTTTTTCTTAGAACATTCGATACCAGTGGACATAGACAAGCTTAACAGGGACATAATCGAGCAGGATTACAACATGTGGGACGCCCTAGAGAGCTCGAAGTGGATTCCATGTGATACCCTTGAACTGTGCTACTGAACAATACCTCCATAAACGAATAACTTCCAAAAATTAATACAATATATTTGTATTAGTTTGAATTAAGAGTATGAATTTCTGAAGTATTTATTTCATGAAATAAATGATGACTTGTAAATGATTAATCCAATGACTTTTATTACCCCATCGCTCCATAACATCTCATTCCATAAATTCATGGCTCCATAACATCCCAGGGTTTTTCCGGTCTGTCAAGGTCCCAGGGTTGCGATTTTTTGTACACTTTGGGCTCAACGAGGTCAACACCACCCTCTTTCAATTTTGACAGTAGTAAATCGACTTTTCCACCTTTTGGCAGGTGGGGACTGACGTGCACTGCGAAAATTCCACTCTCTAAACATCTCTCTGCGAGAACTCGACCCATATTCATGTACGCAGAACTGTCGTTATATCTGAATCGATGAATACAAATTATTACAATTGATTTATTTGTAATTGCATTGCAATGAGTTTTATTTCACTCACGAATAGAGACATTTCTTCAAGGACCATTCTTTAGTGGATGCTGTGATAACAGGACCATTTTCTATATGCTCTACATGAACTTCGAGGTGTCTAACTCCTCGTGTGATGACCAGTCTGGAAGTTCAAATTCATGTGTATCAATTTTTGCAGAAGGAGCTGTTTTGAATTTTTTTTTATCTAGAAGAAATCCTAGGATAAGATATTACTGATGCCAAAATTGTCGTGTTACTCGCTCCAGATGATATCCAGTGGGTTTCCTAGCGATTCTTAGCATTTCCAAATTCCTGGGATTCCTATTAGATACTTCTGTACAGTTGTCGACAAGAGCTGCGTTGGAACTAATTGCATTTAACCCAACCCTCGAAGAATTCAGAAATCCCAATTTTCTCGTTAATATACTCATTTCGCACTTTTCCCTTTAATACCAGAATCGCCAGAATCTCATCAGTATGATCACAAATCAAGGGCAAACCTAACCTAGACTTGGAGTGTAAAAAGGTGGCGGGTTCTCAACATATCTGATCGACAATGAAGATGTGCCCTGGATTTTTGTTCAATTTGTTTACACTCGTCAGCTGTGCCAGTAGTAGCTCCATAAAATCTGAGATGTTGAACCGGTGTCTATTGTTGTTGTAGGATAAATTGAAGTTCCAGAGTTAATTGAACAGATTTACGATGAGTAAAGATCTGCTGAGTATGGAGGAAACCTCCAGCGGTCACAAGGCAAACAAAGAGACTCTGACACCTTACAAAATTGGAGTAATTCTGTTGATAAAGGAATACTGCATAGCCATTCAAAGATGTGAGAAAATATTTCGTTAGCAATTGATGTAAAACAATTTTGTAGTGAAGCGAGAAAACGAGGTACGTTAACGGAGGGATTCAGTAGAGTTTTCGTAAATATCTCTGAAATTAAAGGAAATAGCGAAATCGTTCTAATGACCTTTTGACTAGTTCTTGATTAGCTCTGTGAAAAAGATGTTTACAAAAAATTCACGATCTTTCGTAATTTCGGAGATATTTCCCAAAAACTCACCGAACAAGCAAGTCAACTTGCAGTTTTACTACTTCGCTACAAAATTCTATTCGTTTCTCAGTTAGATTACCTAGTTCGATCGTTTTTAGCTCCTCCAGAACGTCGAGACTTCTGCATTGTTGCATTGAAATTAATTCAGGTGTGTAAAAATCCAATATAAATGATTACAATAACAATAATTGTCGAAATGTAGATTTATGGGGTGCGCTATTCAGTTGAGTTGCCATAAATTAATATCAAAACAGAATTTTTTTTCTTCATTCGATCCAAGAGGCCGATCTGGGATCTTTGATGAAGAAAAATTACTTCACATCACACAAAATGAATTAAAGTTATGATTGTAAGATTAATGAGAATTAAGGAAGAATTGAAGATACAAAACGTCCGCGTTGCATTGTAACAATTATTTGTTCCTCTTTTAAAAAATCTTTTAAAAAATCTTCTAAAAATTTTCAGTCTCCAGATATGGATTTAAAAGCCCTCATATTCGCTCTGTGTAAAACTGAATACGTTCTCCAACGTTTCGCACGTACAATGGAAGTTGAATGTGTGCATTTAACAAACAAGAGCGTTGGAGTCGAGGGTCTTTTGGAGTTGTTCGACGTCCTCTCAAGACTGGTTAAATCTCCACAGGATCATTCTCTGAATTCCTATGCACTGTGCAGAAGTTCAGTTCTAGGTTTGTACGTTCGTAGAACAATCATCTTCTTTGAGGAGCTGGCTTTCTCCGAAGTTGCGCAATTGTACGATGCATTCGTCGAGGACTTTGAAGAAGCTGCCATGGCCCTGGCGAACGCGCGAAGCCTTCCAACACCGAGGGTGGACCTCGGGAATGTAAAAGAGTAGGAGAATCAACAGAATTCGTTACGATGTCCCATTTTCTCATCACTAATTTTTATCAATTATTTCCAGAATATCCAAGAACAAAAACATCTGGGATTGTAGAAGAGCTGAGCTGCTGGTGGCTCAGCAAGCCCAAGCTCTCCAGACAGACGAGCACAAGGCGATACCCCCAGCTAAACTCCAAGTTCTCGTTCGAGAACTTCTGGCTTGCAATCCCTATTACGCAGAAGCCCATTACCTCAGTTATCTCAATTGTCTCAGAGTTAATGAGTACTGTGGTGCTCAGGACAGTTTGTATCACTGTTTTGACAGGCTCGCACCTCTGGAGAACAGATCAGCAACTGACGACAGGTCCAGAACATTTAGATATGCTGCGCTGAACCTGGCAGCTCTTCACGCACAATTCGATCATAAAGACGTGGCCAAGGCTGCGTTGAAGGAGGCCATTATGATGGCTCAGGAGGCTGGGGATAATGTTTGCTTGCAGTTGGCACATGCTTGGATGTATCATTTGTCGAAAGAGAATAAGTGAGTTCACCATTTTATTAAATTCAAATTATACATGGAACTTTAATCTTTTTTTTATTATTTTTCTAGGAGTCAGTTGATCGAACGTTCAGTTGGAAAAGCAAGCATGCTAGGTATCACTCACACAACGAGTCTAGGTTTAATAGCTTCAGCACACAATTCAGCACTAGAAGGGAAGAGTCCATCGCACGTGTTTCAGACACTGATTAAATCGGACGTTCTCAACTGTCAGCACTCCATGACGGATCTGATGTCGATGTCGTACGCGGAGAAAGCAGCCCTCTGGGCTTACTATGGCAAAGCCGAGATGTCCATAGTGTCCTCACAACTTCTGTTGCTTCATAATTCGGGAAACAAGAAACAGACAATGTTCAATGGGGCCTCGACGTGTCAAGCTGTTGTTAATATCGTCAATGCCCTCGTAGAGTTTGGGGAGTACAGTTTAGTGGATGTTGTGTTGGATCACGCAAAGGAGAGGTTCCCTAATGAACCCTCTAATAAGGTAAGTCTAAGTTTCTCGATTTTAACATGATCAATTGATTATTCAATTTTTTGAAATTGTAGTCATCGGGATAAATAATAATAATAATATTGTCTTGCAGATATGGATGCTGAGTCAACAATTGTATCAATTAACCAAATTAATGAGACACGAGAAATGGAGTGACGCCGAAGCGACAGCAAATCAAATATCAAGTTTAGACACGATTGAGAGTAAATTTAGACTAGCTGAAGTTGCTCTGGCAAAGGGAGATTATCCAACTGGTTTGGATCACATAAGTAATATCGAAAAAGACGAGGATTTGAATCCCCAAAATCGAGTGAGGGCGATGATTCTGTCCAGCCAAATCATGAACTCGTCAATTCTCCCAGGGAATGGCATAACAGGAACCAATTCCTTAGTTTTATTAAACTCAGCACTGGAAATGGCGACAAAGTATCATCTCTCGTATTACGAGGCACTGGTGAAGATGCACTTGGCGAATGTCCAGGTAATTAGATTAAATATTAACATTTTGGTAGTCAATTCACTCGACTCGCCCTATTGCAGCTCATCATGGGAATGCCAAATCAAGCGTCCACCCTCATAGACGAAGCGATTGTTCAGATCCTGGCTCATGGTGGCTGGTACGACCAGGCCCGTGCCCTAGTTCTCCACGCAAAGTGCCTCGTGGCGACAGCCCCACAGGCTCCAGACAGGCGCAGAGCGATCATTCAAGATGCCATAAAAGCTCTTCTCAAGGCCAGAACTCATTTCACTAAAGTCGAGGCATTTGGCAAAGTCAAGAACACAGTGTATTTATTAAGTTTACTGTATAATGAGGTAGATCAGAAAGCAGAGCGTAATCAGTGTGCCTTTGAGTTTCGACAATTCGATGAACAATATCCAACGAAAGCTAATACCTCAACATTGTATTAATAAAAGTTTTTTAATTTTTCACCAATAATATAAATATCACTAATTTCATCCAGATGTTCACGAAAATTGGCGTATTATCCTCAGATTGAATAACTGATGAGTTTCGCTGGTATAATTTTAAAAATGAGCTCCAAAAATCCCAATGAATTTACCAATCATGGAAATTTTTTCGAAATAGTTTCTAATTGTTGGAAAATTGCAGATAAATAACAGAAGAAAGTAACATCGGAGAAAGCATTCGAATTTTACGCGGTGCTCCAATCGCGCGCCTCTCGCGGCTCCACTATACCCCATGATATTCCAAATGTATATAACAGAATATATATGGTAGAGCGGGTTTAACAGAATTCTCAGTGTGCCGTCGGTTTCGCCTTGTGACGGGGCTGGATGCCTTCTATGTCGCCGGGCTAAGAAACAACCTGGAGAGTGGGACAATATAAATTTTTTTCAAATTCCCCCCATTCTTTTTATACCAGAAACGCTCTCTCAGGATCTATCGCGCACGTTGGCGTCATCCACTGTGACAACGACCAGTTTATGATTGTGTGGAAGTGAATTTTATTTATCACCAAAACAACAATCGCCCGAGTGATTAAAAACAAATATTCAAATAAACTTGATAATCCAAAATTTTTCACTCATCTGAAATTCTGGAGACGTCAATGAGCGGTTGAGCCTCGTGTTCTCTCACTGACTCATTAATAATTCAAATCAGTTATTCCCTCGCGTGAATTTCGAAATAGCGCGTGGGACAATAGCTGGGGAATGCGGGAAATTGGAAAAAAATAAATAGATAAATAATAAACGCATGTATCCACGGGGGATTAAAAAAAAACGGAGCGAGTTCGTTCCCCCCTTGGATCACGGGCCATTCAACCTTGGCTCCATGCATCCAGTGCAGGAGAGAAGTTGCTGCGTGCTACGCGGTAACAGATAGAAGGGAAAACGTGTGAGAAATGCGGAAAAAATTTGTGACAAAGTTAAACAGCCACTTGGTCCAGGGAAAAACGTTATAGTGGAATTTATTAATTTTTTTTTTCGCAACCTCTGGAGCTGTCCCTGGGTACATCCACTGGTATTAGTCGAGCAATTTGTCGAGTATTTCTTCAGGTGATTTCTTCAGGTGACAGGATAAAGTTATAAAGAATAATTGCACGGGGCGAGGATTGTTGGTATCAGTAAGAAGTTGTTGGGTGTTCCTGGAACAACTGAGAAGTGGAATTTGTTCACTGGAGTTTCGTTCCTGTCCATTACCTCGACCACTTGGCCGCTGTGGCACACGGCATCTTCAGCAAAACCTACGGGTACAAATGTGAATGTGTGCGTAGACCGTCTTCTCCCCTACTTCCAATTTCCCCCCCTTTCTTTTTAACTCATTTATTTCCTTTTTCAAAAGTCTTGCTGTAGTTGTATCTCTGTCTCACCATCCGCTGTCATCCACCGTCTGGCTTCAGCAGCACTCACACCGTCAATTTATCGTCATCCCATTGATCCATATCGAAATTCACTGGAGACCCTTGAGCGGTTGAAATAATTTCACACGTGAGATTATTTCATGATTTAAGGAAATTAATAATTATTTTTTCATGCGAGGAATCAGCGTGAAATCTGGATAAATCCCAATGGTTATTGACCTTGATGATGTGAACGCTGCTTGATCTCAGGTGCGCGTACACAAAGGTGCATCCTCCTGATGGAATTCAAGTTCGTCTCCGCAATCGAGACGCTTCTTATACCAATGTAGAACAAAAATAATGAACATTATTTCCCACTACATAACTATCATCAGTAAATTATTTGGCTCTTCCATGCAGACGCAATTACGTTATCCATTAATTATCCATTAATTATGCATTAATTATGCATTCATTATCCATTAATTATCCATTAATTCAGATAATTGAATTATCAATCGTTTGACTGGTAATTATCATAATGGAATTTTCGATATTGCAGCGAATATAAATAATCGTAATCGAGGGAAAACGGGCCGAGAATGCCCTCGAAGAAGCAGTACAATCTCGTTCACAACGATGAGTATGATACCAGGATCCCGCTGCACAGCGAGGAGGCCTTTCATCGTGGCATCGTCTTCCACGCTAAGGTAAGATCATTCGAAATAAGAGACATAGATTGAGACAATGAGACAGATGTTGGCGCCGTCAACCGACCTACGACGAAAAACTAACGTGGACTAAACACAATGAGGCCATCGACTACGACAACGATGATATTTCTGTAACTGAAATTATTGCCCACTGGCTTTTTCACCACTCTACTGTGCTTGTCTCCATGACGTCATTGGCTAGCACGTGGTTTATTTTGGAAACTGGTATCATCCCTCTCACGCGAGACACCTAGATATTGCGGGGGGATAATCTGGGGTTTAATTTCTCATTAGAATGCACAGCATCTCATGAGATACGTGCAATTACGTCAGGGCCCCTCTTGTCTTTGTTTATTCCTTCAATTTATGTTTTATTCATTTTTATTTTATTTATTTTTTTATATTTATGGATTTCAGTTCATTGGGTCCATGGATGTACCACGACCCACTAGCCGAGTGGAGATCGTGGCGGCGATGCGACGGATTAGAGTAAATAAATTATAAAATATTTTATCGATTTTATCAAGTCCGTGACGTAGGATTGAGCTGGTTCAATTCATTTGGAGTGATTTTCTTGGGAAATAATTTACAATTTAATAAATTGGCAATCGCCTGAAAATTTTCTATTCAAGTTCTAACAGTGTAACGTTGAATGGATCAATCCTGTTTCACGACTTCGTTATGAACTCCACAGTTAATTAATAGGAATGATAACAATTAGCTAAGTGCTCTCCAACTTTCTTGCAGTACGAATTCAAAGCGAAAGGTATTAAGAAGAAAAAAGTAACTCTGGAGGTGTCAGTGGACGGGCTGAAAGTAACTCTCCGAAAGAAAAAGGTAAAAGTTTAATCCATAAATGTTAATTAATCGAGAGGGTGAATTAAAAAGCTCATTAGACTGAACGATTTTTCTCTCAGAAGAAGCAACAATGGATGGATGAGAACAAAGCATTCCAGATGCACTATCCAATCTATCGGATATTCTACGTTTCCCATGACAGTCACGATCTCAAGATATTTAGCTACATAGCACGCGACGGCAACAGCAATTCCTTCAAGTGCAATGTTTTCAAATCTAGTAAAAAGGTGAGACATTCTGGGAAATGATCGGGTGGTATTCCGCTAAGTTCCTCGAAGGCTTCGCTCTAAAAATCAAACGGTTTTTCGTAAAAGGAGATAATGATGCTTGATTGTGTGGAAAAGGAAGTGAAGGAGAAATAAATCAATAATGAAAATGGAAACCGATGATTTACAGGCGATGTGCGTTTATGGATACGGTTCAGAGGTGAATGTTTACGTTACAATATCCCCTTGAATGAATCGGTGGGAATTCGATTAATTTTTGTCAAGTACTATTGATTACTATTAATTTTTATCGGCTGTATAACAGCTTCCGTCATAATTATCTTTATTCCCTTGATTTTTTTATTAATTCACGATTTTATCTGGAAGGAAACTCGTAAAATAATTTCCGTCATCTATTCTTATAAAGTCCCATAACTTTCGATAGACCCGTCTTCTCAAAAAAGTTTTCGAAGTATTCGGTTTATACTAGTTCCAGGGAAAATTTTGTTAAGATATTTCTGAATCGTGAAACAAATATCGACAAATTGAGAGCAGTTTTTCAGTGAATAACTCTAGATGAAATAAAGAGGGAAATCATACCAGGAATCCTCTTTCACCTGTCATATCATTCTCCGAAGGAGATTCTCATCGTGAATTACAACCGAAACAACGCGTTGATCTATCGCGTAAACCAGAGAATGGAAAAATTTAAATCCAAGAATCCTCGCATTTCGATGCACCAAACGCTTGCCAAAAAAACGTACAATAAAAAGTCACCGACCACACTCTTGAACCCGATACACCGGCATGTTTATTAATACAACGAATTTAACAAATTTTCCCCCCCGAAACAAAAGTGCGTAATTTGTCGGAGTCTCGAAATGACGGTTTGTTTGAGAATTCATTTTCGTTGTTTGCCATTGCACCCTGCAATAGTATTAGTAGATAGCTCTGCCAAATAGACAGGGGGGAAAAATGGGAATTATTTAATCGTGTTGACTGGCTTTTCAGTTCCACATTCACTGGCTCGTAAATGTACACTTTTTCTTTTTGAAAAACATTTCGAACTTGCCTCCAACGTGCGACTGTGTGTGTTTAAATACACGTCGGAGTTATTAAAATAGCATCCATAGTTCTCTGTGTCTTGGAGTGTGGGCAACCGTAGGCAATACACTCCAACTGCTCCTCAGTTCTCAGTCATGTCCGGTTCAACAGGGATCATTGATTATTCGATCAGTATTTGCAATTGATAATCCCATCCCTCAAAAATCATCACCAATCCCCAAGCGAGACCCATCGACTTGTCCCCCCGATTTGCCTCCACCTTTTCATTCCCATTTTGAAAATTAATCAGACAAATAGTGGAACGAATCAACAACGTGTGTGACACTTGAAGTTTAGCTTCTTAATTACTTTTTGAGCACTCTGGAGCACTTATGTGGGTAATGAGGGCGATTATGTGCGTCAGACGTGCGGCGAGTCCCTGAAGACCAGGGTCAAACGTGTTGAGTCCGAAATACAAAAGATGTTGAGAAATCCGGGAAAATTGACGATTACATCGGAAATGCCAGGTGGTACAGGTGGTGCAGGTGTTCAAAGTCCTGGAACACCGGAGCCAAGTACCCCAGGAGGCACTAGACCTAGAAAAAAATTATCCTTCAAGGAGCCAGAATTTTTTGGCTACTTGAGAATGAAAAAACCGTCATTCAGAGCGAAGCCACCGGTTCTCAATCCTCCTCCTGCCACTCACCAACAGACCCGTGTCTCGTTGGATGAGCTGCCTTTCGAGGAGGAGGACGAGGATTTCGAGGAGCTCCAGGTAAACTATGTAAACCGTCTTAGAAAATTTAATCATGTCCACTCTCAATATTTCACTGCTATGCGGTCTAAAATTATTCCATTTATTGACGGTAAATCGGTTAATATCGTCTCACAAACCGAAAATTTAACGTTTTGAAAATTTATCGGTGGCTTTTTATTGTAGAGTCAAGCCATGAGGGTAGTTAGGACGGTCGGACAGGCCTTTGAGGTGTGCCATAAACTAAGTCTGAATACAGCATCCGAGGAGCGAGATCAGGACAACGATAAGGAGAGGGAAAGAAATGACGATCATCTACCGCGTAGTGAAGATTACGAGGACGAGATGACGAATGATCGACAGCCCATTATACAGCCGCGTTCACCATCGCCCAATCTTCATAAAGACATATCGATCTTGGGGGATGGTGAGGATCCAGGACAGGATCAGCCGACGGCCATCACACCTTGTATTATCAGGACGCATTCCTCGGCGTCGCCTATCAGGCAATCGCCATCGGTATGTCATCCTCCAAACAGATACACAATCAAAATTTAATCCTGAAAATGTCTTTTTACACATGATTAAATGTGAGAAGGGTATTCTTCAAAAAAAACTTCACAATCCGATTAATTTCGCAGGGAACAGTTCCGTCTGACTGCGGAGACATCCTCCTCCTCGGTGGAAATGAATTAACTTCACTAAAACATGAGATACAATTACTCAGAGAGCGTTTGGATCAGCAGGGACAGCAGACCCGTGCAGCAGTGGCACATGCCAGACTTCTTCAGGATCAACTCGCTGCAGAAACTGCCGCAAGGGTCGAGGCACAAGTAATTTTCATTAATCTCATTGCATCTTTTCCACAATAACCGACGAATTTCTCAGATCATACCCCACACCGCGGATACGCGTGTCAATCTTTTTTTGTTACAATTTTAGACGAGGACACATCAATTACTGGTGCAAAATAAGGAGCTCTTAGAACACATTGGTGCCCTAGTGAGTCATTTGCGCGATCAGGAACGTACATCTGGTATCCACGGTGTTGTACAGTCACAAGGTGCTCAAGGAACGAATAATCCCATGAATCAACAATCACCAAACGTTCCCGACCTGTCCACTCTAGGCCAGGTAACGCTCTATCGAATGACGCCGTGATACTCAATCATAAAAAAAAAACAACTCATCGAGCTCAACAATTCTTCTACGCATTTTATACTATTTTTATTTCATTAATTACTTAATTAATTTTAAATAACTCGAATTGCAGCTGCCTACTGTTTTAGCTTTTTAATTGTTTCTTTTTTTTACACAAACATTTTTTTTAATTAATAAAACGAGACAAGTGAAATGATAAAATTGATGTGAATTCCTCGACCACGTGGGGGACAAGATGGACAAGAGAAGATACCGAAGGGGGCTGAAAAAGGGAGAGAGGAGGAGTTGGGGAAAATACCCAATTGCCTGTGCTCCAAATATTTTTTATTTATACCACTCGGCTGTTCAAAACTGCGCATATATACATTAGTCTCTGTCGTCTTTGCTGACATAATTTTGCTTTGCATCGAGAGAGATAGAGAGAGATGGCATAGGCAAGTCAACGTTTGTGAAATTTTATGGTCGACTCTGTGCCACTATGCTGCCTTCGTACGCCTCTAATCCAATAATAAACTATTCGTGTGGCTCTGCCTAAAAAGCAACGTTTATGTATTCACGCACGTGGATACTTTGTTCGATATTGCTCCATTTGCCATTTGTCTTGCTGTGATGGAGAGCCCCTTCCAGACTGGATTTTTTACGATTAAGGTAATGAAGGATCAAATAATCACCCCTAAATACCTCCATCTAAGGATCTTCATTTCTTTTACCCAGAGTTACCAATTTTTTGAGTTTTCTGACAAATTAATTACAGCACTGACCCGCAAAAATATACCACTTTTCCATTTTATCAATATTTCATGACTCACCAGGTTCCATCAGCGTGCAATAATTTCCCAGTGTTTTTTCTAAAGTTTTATAGATTCTTAAAAATTCAGATAAAACGCAGGAAAGTTAATACACGATCATGACATCTTGGGAGTCATTGAACAATAGTAAAATATGAAAACGGTATATTTTTTTCGCGTCAATCCGATCAACAATTCATCTGAAACTCGAGAAAACGGTAATCTGCGCTAAAAGAGGGCACAACTTCCTTAAATACCTCTAAGGACGAGTGACCAGCAAAACAGTTCCGGTCGACTTTTTTTTTAAATGTTACTAACAGCTCTTTTTTTGTGGCAAAATGCGATGATTTTTTTCCCCAGGAAATACGTTTTTATTTCTTTTCCATTCCCTTGAAATGCGTCCATTAATAAGTTTGCATTTGAGTTGGGATTATTATTTAAAAACAACCGACTTTTTTATCCCACTCTCTATGATTAATCGAAAAGGTGGTGGGATGTATTTCTTATGGAATATTTCTTGCAGTCTCACTCGAGGACGGGACAGGGTTCACCCTGGGAGCTGGAGCCACCCTCCTTCACTTACTCTTACACACCAGACCCTCTTTATGGTACTGAGGGACTTGAATTAGGGGGATATGGTGCCTCCAATGATCAATTGCACTTTCAGACGCAGTTGCTTGAGAGATTGCACAATATTAGTCCTTATCAGACTCAAAGGTCGCCGTATGCTACACCCTCGCCCTATCCCATGCCAGCTGCGAGCTTTCTACTCTCGCCTACGAGTAAACCATCGGTACTCAATACTCGAAAATTATTCTATTATTCGTCACATCCACAAGTGTAGACGTGGCTTATTTTGCTCGTTCTATTTAAGTTTATTTTTCTACGGCATGTCATCGACAAAAACAATGTCATGAAGACAAATCAGATTTTTTTTATTTAAAAAAAAAACGAATAACCTTCGTATTGTGCAATTTGTTGTGTGAGCAAAAGTGACCCTCGTTTACACAAAATTATTTAATTCGTACCATCGGAAATGAGAATTTCCATGATTAGTTAGTGAAGAATGTGTTTTTCAGAGTTCCCAGGCACCCTTGAGGTTGTCTCAAGCGAACAGCTTCGCGTCTTCCCCGGTGATGCCTCATAAAATGCCAGGATACACTTCCCAGTCAGAGGACGCCCTGTCCGACCTTCATGCCCTGATCAAACCTCTTCCCTGTACTCTCCCACGCCAGAGAAATTCCCTCCACTTCGCGAGGGACACGCAAGACCCGAGACAGCAGAGGGCCAGCTGTCCACCACAGACGATGGTCACCCTGGATCCACCACCCCAGGGCAGAAAGACCGAGCAAAAAAAGCCACAGGACAGTCCCAGGCCGCAGGGAAGTCCTGCCCGAGACACCCCAACCAGGGAATCCCAGTCTCTCGACAAAAATATACCCAAGAGCAGTCTCGCAACCATTCTGCGATCTCCTGGACCTCCACCTTCCAGGACAACCAGTGCTCGTCTTCCAGCGCGCAATGACCTCATCAGCCAAGTACAACGAAAGACCTGGGCGCGACACACGACCAAATAGAATGAACTATTAAATAGAATACTTTATTAAAACTGTTTCCAGTTCCAGGTTGTTTGGAATACTTAAAGACTAATTGCAATAGGATAATTCATCATTTGTGTAAAGTACTTTTTTCTTTTTCAAATATATTTGAATAATATTTTGAGGAACATGCATCAAGTGTTTTATTATTTCATCTTCTCTTCATGTACCCGAAAATACTGGGGAGTTAGGATCTTAAGGGTAAATATCGGTTTATTCGTACTTGAATGGGAATGAGGCCATTTGAATTTTTACTCAGTCAATCGATAGAACTCGAGGATAACTACAGAAATAAATGAATGAAAAGAGGAATGCTGAAGAGTGGTAATAATGAAGGGTGTGGATGGCCACTAGTTAGATGAGGTGTGGCTACTCAGGATTTTAACGACTCTGGCATATTGCTTCAAAGGGACAAGAGGGTAAAGCCATTAGAGTAGTGACCAGCGGGGTTGTTCGAACCCCATCAATTTTACCCTATCCTTTTTCATTTCCAATTTGGATAAGAAGCGAAGACCCAAATGGATCCCGAGGAGGATAAACATCAGTCGAAACGCGATGGTCTGCCGAGGGATGAATTGGGAGTGGGGATACTCCGAGTCGGTTCAATCAAGTCATCCTTCACCTCTTCATCATCGCCACAGGTAATCTCGTCATATGCCACGGGATTAATTAAATCACCGATACTCTTCGGGAATTTATCGTCAGATAATGTATATTTGTCGTTCTCAAATGCGAATTCTGTTTTTCGGTGGAACATTTACACGCGATATCGTCACAGTAGATATTCTTGGCCTCGTAAATTTTCGCTTCGATGAACAGAAACGAACAGAACTCCTTTGGACGCACTCCAGACTTTTTTGTCCAATGCAGAGATTCATTAAATTTTATTAACTACACTTTAATTCCATTCATTCCAATTCGAGAAGGTGAAACTGTTTCTTTCTACACTGGATTAACAGATAACGTGCAAGAGCTAGTTAATGAAAAATTTCCTACCAATTATTTAAATTCTCATCTATCGAATTATCACCGATTAGCACGTGATTAGCGTTAAAATAAAAAACTGCAATCAATTGATTAGTGCTATTAATTGATTGCTATATCAGAATTGACTTCGACGACAATTTAATAATGAGTCATACCCATAAGTGTCCGAAGGGGATACAAATGCCACGAAATAAATGAGCCCATAGTGTAAGGATTAATCCCTATCGAAACGAGGTAATAATGTCGATGAGGTGGTTCGTTAATGCTGGAATACTGGCGTGCGTCACGCACACCTGAAACGATTATTGAAAGGGGATGTGTGAGCTTCAGCAGTGATTAGTCTAGGGTGTAGCGAGGTGTGGCAACACGTGTACTTAACGGATTCGGAGTAAGTCTGTCTCAGGGTGCGGTGGATTTGGTTTTTAGTTGTGGCTCAGTGTGACTTTTTCCTCTTGGTTGATTTATCGCACTCTCTGGGGATTCAGGCAACGGAGCGGCATTCTGTGACGTTTGCGCTGGTCCAGGACCTCCCGAAGACCGAAGATACGTCGAGGGACTCCTCTGACGTATTCGAGATGCCCCTGTCTCCGACACTGCTCGCCCACGTGGCCAGGGTCGATACCGCTGAGGAGGAGGAGGAGGACGATTACTCCGCCTCAGTGTCCGCGATTTTGCAGAGGAAGTCCTCCAGGAGGTCCAGCAGAAGGAAGAAGCGCGGATCATCTACTCTTCTGAATGAAGATGCCGCGGATATCCCTGGGAGCTCTAGGAGACGCTCTTCTGTGTTTACTACAAGCTCTGGAGAGTATGTTAAGTTATTTCAGTAGTTAAGGGTGTTACATCCATTTACATCCATTTATAGCCGAAATCAACGTTTTTTTTATTTTTATGGAATTTACAATAGGATTGACCTGAAAAATATAACGTTTTTGCGTTTTTTTATTATTTAATGACTCACAAAATTTCAAGGTGGTGCGAGTATTTATTTCTACGTTTTTTCGAGACTTTTGAAAAGAATCACAAAACTGTAGGGAGAATGCATGAAAATTATCGCAACTCTACTGAATTTCTTGAGTCATTAAACAATGACAAAACACAAAAACGTATTTTTTACATCAATCCCATCGAATGATTTATCAGAAAAAAAAAAAAGTGAATTTTGGCTGGAGGTGGGTGTAGAACATTTTTAATTGTTCAACTGCTGAAATCACACATTCAATTCGTTGCTGATTCGATTTTTACATCCAGTAGTATTGCAATTGTGATTTGTTTAAGCACAGCGATCTCGATTGACGGGTGGGATGAGGACATGGAGGAGAGGATGAAACAGCAGCAGATTTTTGAGAAGCTGAAGGTCCACAAGGAAGTATTGGGGTCTGTGAAATATCAGCCATGGACATTGAGAAAGAAAATGAAATTGGTGAGACAAGCCAAGTCGTATATCAGACAACATGAAGGCGCTCTTCAGGTTCGACTTGCACAGAGTAGGAACACCAGGGACATCCTCACCCAGGTGTCGATATTCATCAACAAGGTGAGTACCTAGTGCGAAAAAATCTGTTCTCTCAGTAGATGAGCAATCGACTAAAAATTTTTAAATGGCGTGCTCTTCGGGTGCCAACAGAAGTGGCAGTATTTTCGAAGAGAAATCGTCAATCTTCAAAAGTGGATGGTACCCTGGGAGCTCAGGATTAAGGAGATCGAGTCTCACTTCGGTTCTGCTGTAGCTTCTTACTTCATCTTTCTCCGCTGGCTCTTCTGGATTAATTTCGTGATATCCTTGATACTGACCATCTTCGTGGCAGTCCCGGAAATCCTGACGGCTGATCATAGTCTAGCGGGTGATCGCAAGATGATGCCCCCTGAGGTCAAGGCTAAAGCCACACACCTGTTGACACTCTGGGAGTTCGAAGGAATCATTAAATACTCGCCTTTCTTCTATGGGTGGTATACCAATCGGAACCCTGAAGACGTAGGATACAGAATGCCGCTCGCATATTTCGTCGCCAATCTTGTCATTTACACGTACAGTTTCGTCGCTATACTCCGCAAGTAATGAACAATCCATTCAATAAACTGTCAGAAATTCATTCAATGGGGGATTGAAAATTCAATTCCATTTGAACTTGTTACTCAAGAATTACTCGATTATGTAATAAAAGTAATTTTTGACAGTGGATATCGATATTTATTATGAAATCGAATTCATGCCACATTTCGTCTTCAGAATGGCGGAAAATTCCCGGATGAGCAAGTTATCAGAGAAAGAGGACGAGTGCGCCTTCTCCTGGAAGCTCTTCACGGGGTGGGACTTCATGATAGGAAATACTGAAACTGCACACAACAGGGTAGCAAGTACCATCGTAGGATTTAAGGAATCCCTTCTGGAAGAAGCGGAAAAGGAAAAGCAACTCGGACAGTCTGTATTCTCCCTCAATTCGTTCATTAATGAAGATAATTTCATTAATGAAAATCATTAATTTAGTTAATGTATTTATTAATTATTTCCCTTCGACAGCTGGAAAATAACAACAGTTAGAATCCTCGTGAACCTCGCAGTGCTATTCCTCCTGGTGTTGTCTGCCTACGCAGTAGTGGAGGTTGTCGCAAGAAGTATGCAACCTGACGCCAGTAGCAGCTGGTGGAGGCAAAACGAGATCACAATAGTCATGTCCCTCATATCATTTATATTCCCGATATTCTTCGAGGTCCTGGGATTCGCCGAGAACTACCACCCCAGGAAGCAGCTGAGAGTTCAACTAGCCAGAATTATGTTACTGAATCTCCTCAATTTATACTCGTTAATCATTGCCCTGTTTGATAAGATCAGCCACATGGAGGTAGACCTAGATGCTTTAAAACCAAAAGCAGAAGTTTCCCCTGGAGCGATGCTGTGGGATTCCTCCCGCTGTCGAGAGGTTGAATCACCCTGTAGAAAATCTACAACTGGCTTGCCATTTACCCTTTCTCCAAGAAAATCCACGAAGTCTCGGATCCTGACGACGAGTTTAGCAGCGATGAGCTTGATCATTACACCGAACTCAACAGAAAATTCTGTTTATCCTGCAAATCTATTTGAACCACGACTCCCCGATAGTTACGGGGAAACTCTGACAAATGTCGATGGATCGATGGACTACGAGTCGTTTATGTCATTAACAGAAAATACTACAATCCCTGGAGGAGCTGAAAATTCATCCTTTAATCCATCGTTTGATGATCAAGTGAAGTGGCCGACTTATCCCCTCGGAGAAGATCCCCAAAACCCTCAGGACAATTACGATGATTACGATCTCAACGTGAATGGCGATGTGATCTCAAGTTTTACTGAAGGCACTGCTGACTCCACAACTACTGGACGAGAATTAACTGCTGAAGAAACGACTCCATATCCTGAGGAGGAGTTAAACGGAAAGAATTGTGTTTATACTGTTTGTGATGTGTGCGAAACACCGGAGTCGACTCAAGAAGACAGGGGAAACACACCAGTGAGTCTTTCTGCAATATTGAAGCTCAACATAACGACTAAACGAAAACTGAGGAAGTTATGCTGGGAGACAATGTTCGGTCAGGAGTTGGCGAAGCTCACTATGATGGATCTATTCCTCACAATAATTGCTACACTAGGAGTTGATTTTTTACGGGCACTCTTCGTGAGGTACACTCACACCTGGTGGTGCTGGGATCTGGAGAAACGGTTTCCACAGTATGGCGACTTTAAAATCGCTGAGAATATTTTGCATCTTGTTAATAATCAGGGGATGGTGTGGATGGGGATGTTCTTCAGTCCCGGCTTGACTGCACTTAATCTCGTCAAGTTGGGAATTCTTATGTATTTGAGATCGTGGGCTGTTATGACATGCAATGTGCCACATGAAGTTGTATTCAAAGCTTCGAGGTAAATCCTCAGAGTAACAATTAATCGTCAAGAATTTTTTGTACAGTAGATTCCAAACAGAAAATCAATTGAATTTCTCAGGGGAAACACTAGTTTCCGACGAAATTCCATCTTTTGATAATACTATTTTGTCTTTCTTTCACTGTTTAGGTCCAATAATTTTTATCTCGCATTACTTCTTACGATGTTATTCCTGTGTGTTCTCCCCGTGGGCTACGCCATCGTCTGGGTCAGGCCCTCCTGGCACTGCGGGCCATTTTCCGGATATCACAGAATATATTACCTGGCCACCCAAAGTCTGAGAGACGTATTACCCCGAAAAGTTCACAAGTGATTATAAATATAAACATAAATCCAAAATGCAATGAGTTTCGTTGAATTGATTCGTGTATTTTCAGAGCTCTGGATTACATCGCATCCCCCGGTATCGTAATTCCCCTGATCGTTTTGATGGCTTTGATAATTTACTACATGGTGTCCCTAACAGGCTCTCTCAGAGAGGCCAATAACGATCTGAAGATTCAACTGCGATATGAGAGGACGGAGGAACGACGAAAAATGTTCAAGATCGCGGAGAAGAGGCGGCAAGGACAAGACACTGCTTTTGCCAAATGGAAGAAAATTCTGCCACCAACGGGATTAGGAAAAATTGCGTCCACCGATGGACCAAAAATCTCAACAGGTCTCGCGAAAATCTTGAGGTTTAAATCCATGAGATTTAATTGAAGATGGATTTTTTTTTCTGCAGGGATTGGAAATATTCTTCAAGAAAAACGTAAACGAGCAATCGAGAGAATTCGTACTCTGACATCCGAAGGTGACGAGGCAACTGACGCCGAGCCCTCATCACTGCCTGTGGATCCATCATTCCCTAAGGAAGTCCCAGACCAAAGGGAAATTACTGAGAACTGGGATTCAACCAAATTGTAATTCCTCACACGATTATTTGTGTTCCAACAAAAATTATTCCAGTAGTTATAAATTATTATCGATTATTACTCCAGGGGGACCAATATACCACGCATTCACATAGACGAAATAGAACTCAACGCTGCGTTATCAGAGACGACTGATAACGCCCAGCATACACCGTCGATGGGAAATGGAGTGAATGAAGACGAAAGTCATGAAGAGAAAAATGAAAAGAATGAGAGTAAACCAAATGATCCCTGAATCTTGTCACATATTCTTGTGAATCTATGGAAACTGAACTACTGCTATATATTTACATATAAAAATCGAATTGTACAATTCACTTTTGAAAAATGTAAAATAAATCGTCCATACATAATTATGTATGGAATTAAGGTTTTATTGGGAGTACTGATTATTAAATGATTACTCATAAATAATGAGACCATGAAAATGAATCAATTACCGTCGTACACCATTAATTAGGTATTCCTCTGTGATTGCGTATTATCAGTATAAATTTTTTAAATAATAGGAAAAACAAATTTTCTGCGGATTTATATCAGGGAAATCGATGAATTAGAACACTAGACAGGACTATAACGACGAAAAAAAAGGATAAGAGAATTATTTGCATCAGTACAAGTCAAAATACTGCAATATATTTAGGTTAAAAAAATCGAATTGTACAATTACCTCTTGGAAGCTGTAAAATCAATCGTGCATACATCGACGCGTACGAGCGTAATCCTTCACTTTGATAATAAAACTTCACTGATGGTATGATCAATGATACATAAGAATCCATTTAAAAAAGCATCAGTAATCCACGAGCATCTGTTATTAATCCCCCACAAAATCACTGAAGTCGTCGAGACGTTCACATCAATCACACAATGAAATATCCGAAATCCATTGAAGACGTTTCACGAGCTGTCCTTTAATTCATCTGAATCTCCTCAATATTCAAATGAGCAATGAACCTGAGTCTCATCTGGAGAGCAGGCCTCAGTCTCCTGATTATGCACTCGACATCAGTCTTCATCATGTCCCCAACGAACATGTATTTAATATGATACAGCAGATCACAGACGGGATCCATGTATTTCAGTGTAGCCTGCGTTCTGTCGATCTGCTCTAGCATTTCGTAGAGACTAACTGTCAATTCGACAACGCATTTGGGCCTCTCAACATTGAACCGAGCGAGAGTGGGTCCAATTAAGTGACAGGCGAAAATAAGCTGTTCCTCACTGGTGACAGCGGGCTGAAGTTTTTCCTTCACAAACTGCGGCATCGTCGTGATATGTCCAACCCCAGCATGATGCCAGATAGAATGAGTCAGTGCCAGCATGTACGAGTACTTGTTCTCCAGTAGACAATTATGAGTGACATCAAAATTAAACATTTGGAAAGGTGTCAAGTTGTTGTACTGCCATTTGGCAAGCCCAGGACTGCTGATCGTGACAACCAATCGATCATAGAAAGCAGCCCAATAACACTCGGGAAGAGCAGCCATCAGCAAGCCCACGCAGTTGATCCACAAATGAATATCTTTAGGTGGAATGACAGTGTACCCCTTGGCCACAACATCCAGAAGAGAATTGGCTACAGAATTTGGAGCAACAGGCACTGCCATGAGCTCCACGCAGGTAACATACAGAGAATGAGCTGCAGGATTTGGAAATTCATTGAATCTCCAGTCGACTGAGGGAAAGTGCGGAGTACCGGACATCGTTTCCACAATTCTACGTACAAGTCTGATGTAGTAGTCGAGTTCGGGTACCCAGGAGACGGCCTCTTCAGGCACTCTCGACATGTAATGAAGGAACGGTTCCGAGAGGGCCCATCCAGGCGCCCTGATCTCTCTCAAAGACCCTAGAACAGCTGCAACTAATCTCCTCTTCAGCTGTGGCTTATCTCGTAACTTCTTTTCGTAGTAATGAAGAGTATTGTATAAATATGTGACTGGTCTATCGTGGAACTTGTAGAGACACCCCAGGTGCTCCAATAAAATCTCCAGACTTTTGATAACCGGTGGTATCTCCAGATACCTGTGAACCACGATATCAAAGACTGGGAGAAATCTGAGGCAAACATTACCGAAGTAAACCGGTAGATTCTGATACTGACTGGGCCCCCCACTCGCTTGATCCATAATCCCTTCCGGTGCAAAAGTCTCCGGAAATTTTCGGTGAAATGCCAAGTGCTTCTCGTGCCAATTGGACTGCTTCCAGTGTTCTGGGGAATTCTCTTTAACGAATTCTTGGACTCTGTTACGGAATTCAGCGGCTTTCAATAGGAGCAGTTGAATGATGAAAAAACAGACCTGCGCCTCATTACCTTCTTGAGTTCTCAGTGCCAGGCACAGTACCAATCTGTCAATTGTAACAATATTGTACTTCCATATCATGTGATTTATCGTGTCCACGCACTTGTTGACGTGTTGTCCACCGACACTATTAGCGAATTCAAAGACTAGGTAATCACAGAATTTTCGAAGGTGAGCGGAGAGAGCTCTGGCACCGATTCTCTCGAGTATTTTGTAGGCGATAGGACTAATTCGATCTGTTTCGAGGATCATTTTCCATAGGAGGCAGAGAAATAATGGAGGGGTACCAGGAACTGAGAAATGAGCGATTATGTCGTTCTCGTTGCTCATTGACGCCCAATTTCTGTACTCTTCCTCAACAGCTTTTTTTATTTGCTGTTTGTTCTCCCTGGGAACGCTATTCTGTTTGAAAAATTCACTCAGCACTGGGGGAAAGCAGTCAAGAGTGTGAATAGCCCAGGAGTGCGGGGTGTTCTGCATTATTGTAATCAAGAGCTCTTTGCACCAGGTGCCACCGACAGGATCGGATCCTGTACCCGTTACGTGCATGGATCTGGCTAGTGTCAGAACTAGGGCTCTGTTCAGTTCCTCAGACTCTGACGAGACCAGTGTCTTCGGCTCTGAGAGGAATCTCGACAGTTGGGGCTGCACCTCTGCTGATCCCAACCCAGTGATCATCCTCAGGGCTGTGCTCTCCACGCAGAGATGCAGTTGAGTTTGATTTGTCTGGGGTACTGCAGCGAGACTATGAAGGTGGGAGAGGATCTGGAGCCGATAGTGAGGCTGAATGTGATGCATTCTGTAGCTGAACATCTCCAGAAGAGTATAGAGAGTCCCCCAGGCGTGGGACTTGAAGACCTGGGGCAATAGCTGACTTATGAATCCCTTGATCCCGAGACTCTCGATCTCAGTGTACACTAGGAGTCGAGAGTAAGTTTCCACTAGGGCTGGGGCCAAAGGCATGTTACTCTTGGACTGTGCTAGTTTAATAACGTGAGTTACGATACTGTGGATTAAGCTCATTTTCGAATGAACCGTGAGAGAATCCAGGATGGACATTGATAAAGGTGTAATTGGACCTGTAACCAACGCTGCATTGTTCTGGAGGTTCGACTGCAATGGCTGCTGCTGTTGATTCTTCTGAGTTCCCAAGACGGTGTCCACGAGAGTTGCCATGGGTCTGCTGAAATATTCTTGATAGGTCGAATACGCATTGCATAGAAGAGCTATTCTGTAGTCTGATCCCATACATAACGAGGTATTTGGCATCACCAGATGCTGGAGGAATTCGTGGTGTGCCTTGAGAGCTGTTGGAATTGGCCTGTGAATATTGGCGTGCTCCAGTTGAGCTTTCTTCAGTAAATGAATCCAAATGCAGGTGATTGCCATTTGGTGGGTGCATAGGGCTTGATTGTAGTCTGGAACTGGCAGAGGCTCTTTCTCTGGATAGAGGAGATCGTAGAGTTTCAGTACTGGGAGAAAATTGGCAAGTGGATTTCTCTGAATGCTTCCCGATATGAATTGAAGTAAAACCCACATCAAGTGATCTCTTCCTTTCTTCAAGTCTCTAGCTGCTAGTTTCTCGTGAATAGCCATGACGATGTGTGGAAATGAGGCGAACTGAAAGAGAATGAAGTAGATCAGCTGAGAGGAGAGATGCAGCCAGACCCAGTGATTTGCCACTGTTCCGTCCACCCCTTCTGCTTGCATTGTGTCGTTTTCGGATCTCTCCATTGCCAGAATAACAAGCTCCACCATTTGTTCCTCCAGGGCTATACAGCGCTGTTTGTGCTGCTTCTGGAGACCCAGCATTGAGCAGACCATGTCCCTGGAGTAAGGTTGCTCCAGGACATAACGCAGGAGCTCCGTTTGGGGTTTGAGAAGCTCAGCGTCGTATGGAAGGCTCCCTTTCAGTGAAAATTTCAATGTCGTTGGATCGAGCAGCCAGGGATTAATCTGGTGGTCAGCGTATCCAGTGTGCTCCACCACTGGAAGCATCTTTGAATGGCCCACAATGGACACCATCTGCGCCACTGGACGGAAACTCTGGACAAAATTCGATAACAATGAAGCCAACTTCCAGTGTGGCCAATTTTTGTTGTCTGGATACACCTTCTGGATTTCAGTGATGATAAAATAGCTGGGAAGGAGGCAGTTGTTCCTGTCGAAGATGTTCTCGAATACGTACTCCAGGGCTTTCAACTGTGGCTGAACTGATGCGTTCAGGCGAACTGGAATTGTCTGGGCTTTTTCTATACAGCCCCTCATTATTTCCCGGACACCTTTGTAGTCTACACCACCGGTTATTCGACGAATCAGACCGAATGATTCTACCCAGAACTCCTGGAGATCATAGACTAATTTGTCACAACTCAAAATCGACTCGCACACCATCCTAGAAGAGAAGAGGGTGTTAAGCCAAATTCTTATAACTAAAATCGACTTGATTTTTCAACGACGTTGCAGATATTTTTTGAGGCATTTTACCTTGCAGGTAAGACATTCCCAGTGACCAGGCCTTCCAGTAAACCCAGTAACATTTGTAATCGTCGATGATTCGTCATTCCCGCTGCTAGGATAAGAAACTGTTTGACAGCGGCTTCCTGCTGGTCGGCGGGAAGCTTCCCCATGGCCAAACTCAACTCTGTCTGCCATGATTTTATTTTCGCGAGATCGTGATCCAAGTTGTGGACCAGAACGCAGCTGAAGGCTTCCTCGATCGCCTCTACTTTCTAAACACCGCAAACAATGTTTTTCGATGAGAATTTATGTGATATTTTTTTCTCATAGAATTTATTGAGAAATCGGGGCTCTCACCAGAATCTCGTTGACAATATTCGATATTTGGGTTTCGCCACTCATTTTTATGTTTTATGGAAGTAGTTGAGTGATGTATACAAACACACTAGTAGGTTATGTACTTTTTTTATGTGATTTCCACTGCACATGCCCTAGGCCTTCGTCATTGCTCGTCATTATAAGCTGAGGATACCATCTTTAATCATCAGATTATTATTTTTTAAGTGACTTGCTTGAATAATGTAAAAATTAGACTCAAACATCAGATATCTGACACACGAAGACACCTTTTGGAGTGCAACACCGGAGGCTTAGTCGGCAAGTCAGAGAATTCGTAGTAACAGCTGACGTGACAGTCCAAACAATCATACATACGGTCACTTTAGCGCCCGGGAAGTCGATCAAATTCTCGTCTTCAAATGCATTTGCGAATGTTTTATGAGAATGATAATTGATGTTTCGATAGTTAATCATTAATCACCTCCTCACATAAATCCTCTTCCACATCTCCATCTGGAGCAGAGATTCGAACGTTCACATGAGAACGGATCATTCGGCTCGCCCATGACAGTTCCCAGTCCATGTTTTTTTTTTACCAAAGGAAAACAAATACTTATATTCATTAAAAAGTCCTTTTATTTATAAGGAAATGGCATCGATGAGCGATAAGAATCCAAACTCTTCCCTGGTGAAACGAGTGAATAAACTTCTCGAGTCTCGGCCAGAAAATGATAAGGTAATGAAACAACTAATGATTTTGAAGAAACGTTAAAGTTTAATTAACCTATTTAGATTTATCCAGCAAATCTACAATCTCATTCCAGGATACCCTTGAGGCTCTGAAGGAGCTCTCCACATTCTTCACCGAGAACACATTAAACAACCGGAGGAATCTCCGTAGTAAAATCGAGAAAAAGAGTCTCGCAATAAATGAGGAGTTCCTCTCAGCATTCAGAGAAGTCAAGTCCACCCTGGACGACATTCATCGAGACGTTCTGGGGATGAACAACTCGATACAATCGATGACGAGTCGTCTGCAGACGACGAAAACCCAGACCCTCAGTCTGATCGATCGAACGATGAAGCTCCAGAATGAAAGTAGAAAGTTGTCGATGCAACACGAAGTGGCCAAGGCCTTCATCAGAACATTCGAGCTTTCCAGACACGAAATTTCCATCCTCCATGGACAGACGAGAGAGGAGCCCATCGCAGAGGAATTCTTTACGGTCATCAATCGACTCCAGACGATTCACAGCAGCTGCAGAATTTTAATGCAGTCAGGTTATCAGACCCTTGGACTGGATGTTATGCAGAGGATGACATTGCTGCAGGAGGCTGCACTGGAGCGGTTGTACAGGTGGACCCAGAATCAGTGCAGGCACATCGAGCACGATCAATTTGCACCCTTATTGATTAAGGGCATGTGCAAGCTGCAGGATAGACCTGTGCTGTTTAAATATATTATCGATGAATATTGTACTGCTAGACGGGCGGTTATTGTTGGAGCTTTTATTGATGCATTGACACTGGGAAGTAACACTGGAGGAACTCCGAATCCTATTGAGATGAGGGCTGATGATCCAACGAGGCATGTAGACACCATGGATTTAATTTTTGATTGCATTTAAAATTTTCACATAATTACATTGAAACGAGTAATATTAACAGGTACGTGGGAGATATGCTTGCTTGGTTACATCAGGCAATTCCGGTTGAGAAGGAGAATATTCTGACACTTCTGAAGGCGTGTGATAAGACAGGTAATTTACGAAAATTCGTGGGAATGGATTACTGGAATGAATAATAATTGATTAATTTATTTATTTCGTCGATTTGATTTATTGAATCGTTTAGATGTCTCAGATCAAGTGAAACACGCGTTAGGAAATATCACAGAGGGCCTCTGTCATCCTCTGAAGTCCCGTATCGAACATATACTGGATGTGGAAGCACCTGCCACTGTGTTGTACTCGGTAATGTCCCTTATCCGGTATTACCTGGCGATTCTCTCTGACATAATACCAGATAGTGTCCTGGTGAATACGTTGAGTGAACTCCTGGAGCTCAGTGAGAGGAGTTTCAATGCTAGACTCCAGAAAGAAACTCGTACAGCACTTGGAGATCGAGCTGAACCGCCTGGACAAGATTTGGTGCCTGCTGCCTCGGTTTCTAGGCTCTTGGGGCTTCTCAGTGATGTACTGTCTGTTGCTTTGATTGTCACTGGGGAGGACAGGGAGAAAGACATTCAAAGGGTAACTAAAATAAAAATATTTCAATATGCCGAAGAGAGGAATTAAAAAATTCATTCAATTCAACTTCAATGACATATTTGGAGTGAAGCAAATTCAATTGGAGCATTCTCACTTGTTTTAAATGATTTTGGTGTGGATTTTTGAATTTATTTTAGATTGTTTCATGCATAATTGATCCCCTTCTTCAAGAAGTCGATGAGACTGCCACAAGACTTCCAGCAGTGGACATGGCAGTCTACTTATTGAACTGCCTTCATCAAATCCATTCGACTTTATCTCTCTATGAGTACATGGACCAGAGACTCGAAAGACTGCAAGCTCAGTCAGATGCTCAAATAGATACCCTCACATCGGAATTGGCAAGTTCACTCGTGGCTAATCTTAACCTGGGGCCCATTTACACTATCCTCCAGGGCAGGGAGCACGGTCCCCTCTCTGCGATCCCCGGAATGGATCCAGTCAGTGTAAAGGAGTTCACGGTGAGAATGTTGAATTTGAATTAATCATCAGGCTGATCATTAAATAATTGTTCCTTATTTTTTAGAATAAATTGGAGTCATTTCTTCTGATGTCTGATGCCTTTCTACTCCCTCAAATCAGTCTTCTCCAAAATAGCAATCATCGGTCAACAGCGTTGAAGAGATCATTCCAAGTGATTGGGGCTATCTATAAACAGCTGTACGACGCCTGTCATGATCCTAAGAATCAATATCAAAATCCTGGTGGATTGTTTGTGAGAACACCAGAGGATTTGCTCGATAAACTTGTATCTCAATAGAATATTAATTCATTACTTTCCGTATTGTCCTTTCAAGCACTTAATCATTACATATATTACATATGTTGTGAACGCAATCTGATTTTCCCATCTTTGAAGAAGAATATTTTCGATGGAATTTTATCATTAGCCGACAGTTGATTTCGCATGTACGCACCCCGTAGATGATGTTGAATGACTCAAAGGCATCGAACAATTAAAAAAAAAAATTCCATCGAGTCCAATCAGATCAAATGCACCCTTCCCCGTTGCATTGTGGGTAGGACTCTTTCCATCCCGGATTGGCCGGTGTGTCACGTGGGTGTGAGCAACACTGATTGGCTGATTAATTTTCACGGCACCGTCAGTCAGCCGTCTAGTTCGGTGGAATGCGGTTGTGTCTTTACATCTTCTGGGAGTACGTGAATGTGTGTTGATCATCGTAAACCCTCTCCCCCATACCCAAATAATCTCCAAGTCAAAACAAACCTTCAACCCTCTGATCTGCCCTACAATCAACAATTAAAAAATCCAACTGATAAAAAGAAACCCTGAAGGACCAGGAGGAGGCCGAGGTGCGCGCCAGTGCCCTGAACACACACCACTGAATACCCTGATTTTCCAAGAAAACAAAGACGTGTGATTGCAAACGCTGTCAATAATGTTTCCCCCATTGACAATGAAAAATATCCCCTGGATAATCAAGAATTAACAAATGATGAGGTACTTGTATTGCTGGACAAAAGGCAGATAGAAAGTCTTCGGTGAAGAGGTAAACCAGTGGGCAAGATGGCGGAGTCGAGCTATTATCAGGTGAGTCCATGGTTAGAACTCAAATCTCTTGGATCCGCCAAAAGCGATATATTTCCCTTATCACCATTCAATCGTCCCCCCCTAAATGTCCAACGAATCATCATTCAATCAGTCTCAACTCTCCATTTATGAAACCCTGGGGACTCTCTATCAATGGCAGTTTGACGGATGTACGAGTCAAACGTACACTTGCCCCCCTCCCCCTTCCCCCTTTTAGTTTCATCATTCTTCTTTTCGTCTCTCGTAACGTATTCCATCCACTCCTCACCTCCTTCTCCACTCGTTTTTTCATCGTCTCGTCTGCTCCGCTTGTTTCCTCTCGAACCGTCTGGGGGTTTTGTAAAACCCATCGAGGAGGATTTATATAGCCTCGAAATTTTCGCTCGACTGGTCGAGGCACTCGTTTGATGGAGCACGATAAACTGTGGTGGGGGATAATAATTGAGGAGATGAGTTAATTGTCCACAAACATTTATACAAGACCGACATAAACGCGTGAGCAATAATGTTTTATACTCCCCTTTCCTCGTTTAGAGAAGAGATGGTACCTCTGGAGATGCAGACAATAACCTGTAGCAAAATAGAATAGAGTCCCTTTGTTTTTGAGACTGGAATACTGTAGATGGAATTAAAGTTAAATTCAGGTCTCATTCATTTAGTCTTTTAGAAATCGCGGATACCAAATGAATGTGATTATTAAAACTATTTCTGCCAGAATATTTGGCCATCGGTGGGACCAATTCCTGAGCCTCTGGAATCCCATTGTTCTACCCTTTTGGTCCATTGAAAATGGCGCAACGAGGAAATAAATAAAAAAGACAAATAAAGAAAAAATAAATAAATGCATTTCCTCCAATAATTCATCTCTGCATGAGCGAGTATGATGCAACATTGAATTGCTGAGGATAGGACTTTGATATGAGGATGTGACTAATTTTCAGAATGACTATTCGAGGCAACCAGTTCTTGCTGAACTGTCCCACAAGTACGGAGTCTCGGTTAATGATCAGCCACTACCGGCCAGACTAGATGAGCTGCGTGAGCATATTAGGAGGGAAATCCGTAAAGAATTGAAAATTAAGGCTGGAGCTGAAAAACTGAGAGAAGTTGCCACTGACAGAAAAGCACTGTCCGATGTCGCGATGATTGTCAAGAAGGCGAACAGTAAATTGAATGAGTTGCAGGCAGAATTGCAGCAACTCGAGAGCCAAATAATCCTGACCCAGGGCCAGCCCCAGTCCCCCCAGCGAGATTATTCAAATGGCCAAGGTGATTTTTTTTTTGTTTTCCTTCTTATGGAGTTGAAATAAATTTGAGTCTCATTTTCCACTACAACCTGGAGTTTGTGTTGTAACAGATACACCATTATCGCCAATGGACTCGTCATCGCCGAGTCAGGAGGGCCTTATCACTGATTTGCGAATTATGACTCTGGAGAAGCAGTTGAATATCGAGCTGAAGGTGAAACAGGGCGCTGAGAATATGATACAGAGCTTGACTAGTGGCCACAGGGACAAAAAACTTCTCCAAGAGGCGCAGCAAATGCTGGACGATTCACGGGCTAAGATTGAATTTTTGAGGATGAGAATAATGAAGGTGAGACAGGCGAGACAGCAACAACATGCCCGAGCTGATGCACCACTTTCCAATGGCGAGTCTACGACAAGTAAAGGTAACGCATTTTACTCCCTCCTGAAGGGGAGTCAATCTAATTGCCAATGCTGTTTTTATTCAGATAAATATGAACCGAGTTTGGAATTGGCCCTTGAGGAGAGAGTCGAGGAGCTTCGGCATCGGTTGCGAATCGAAGCTGCTGTGGTCGAGGGTGCAAAGAATGTCATACGTCTGCTGCAATCTGCCAAAGTTGCGGATAAAAAAGCTCTCACTGAGGTATATCACGCATCAAAATATGAAAACGTTCTCCAATTCTTAAACTTCATTTATAATATTTATGAATTGATCATTCAAAATAAATTCTGTCTTTTCTCAATTCGAGAGTAGAATTGTTGGATATTTTTGGAGCAACTGAAGTGTATTCTTAACGCAATAATGATGAATCATAATTCTCAATGTAAGAACTGAAATTTTTGATTCGAGGCCAAAAGAATCATCAATCAGTCCCAATACCTTATAATCAATCCTCTTTCCTTGTGAATCATTGTTTTGATTGAAGTAATGTTGTCATCAAGGTCAGAAAACTCGTACATAATTGAGAGCGGAGTAAGTCGCTGGGTGAAAATATGTGTCACGCATGGTGTTGATTGATTGCAGGCGCAGGCTAGTTTATCAGAGTCAAGTCGAAAGTTGGATTTACTGAGAATGTCTCTGGATATGAGGAGACAGGAGTTGCCAGCGGACAGTGCCACTGCGGCACAATTAAAGAGAGAATTGGCGAGTGTGCAGTCAGCGAGTCCTGTACCAGTTACGTACACTTCGTTGCAGCCCTTCAGAGGGCCACTTGAGGGTAGAGCAACTGTTCCAATTTCAGTGTCGAGATGTGCAGCTGTGACTGGACAGCTGGAGGTGAGATTGATGGGGTGCCAGGATCTCGCTGAGGAGGTACCTGGAAGAACGAGGAGGGAGCATCATCCAGCGAGTCCAGATTTACGGAGTTTTGTTAAAGGAGTTACTGGCCGCAGCTCGAGTAAATCTTACAGCGTCAAGGATGAAACTAGCAATGACATAATGGCGGTCATAAAGCTGGACAATCAGACTGTTGCACAGACGAGTTGGAGACCGTGCTCACAACAAGCCTGGGACCAGAGATTCTCAATTGAGCTAGATAAATCCAGGGAATTGGAGATTGGTATTTACTGGAAGGACTGGAGATCTCTCTGCGCTGTCAAGTTTCTCCGGCTGGAGGAGTTCATCGACGATGTGAGACATGGTATGGCTCTGCAACTGGAGCCTCAGGGCCTACTCTTCGCTGAAATTCGATTTTTAAATCCCATGATCTCGAGGAAGCCCAAACTTCAGAGACAGAGAAAGATATTCAAGCAGCAGGCAAAAAATTTCCCCCGAGCGAATCAGATGAACATAAATGTCGCCACCTGGGGCAGATTGCTAAAAAGATCTGCACCCTCTCTGCATAGCAATAGAAATTCAGAAAGTCCACCTTCTGGAGCTCAACCCATGCAGCTTGTCTTCGATTCCTCTCTGGAGGATAAGCCTGAAACACCTGGAGAAGTCCCTGACCCGGAAAAGGGAGGACTCAGCGGTGCCAGGCCACTGGGAATGTCGGCCTCAAGTGCTAGTTTAACTTCACAAAGCCATCCTCCACCACCTCCTAGTGCTCCACCCCCACCACCGCCCATTGCTTCCATCTCCAAGAAGGCATCTGTGATCTCTGTACCACCACCACCTCCACCGAAACTCGATCAAGAGGTGAGTCATTATATTATTTGCATTAATCCACATTGATGTTGCTCGTACAATACACAATATCCTATTGTAAATTGTATTTTATCACTTGAAGATTATTCCTAGGGAAGAGTGAGATTAAACGAACTCTTCGGATTTTCACTATTGTCTAACTTATTAAATTCTTGATAAACTGAATTACTTTTTCAAGGAAAATGCACCTCAGTACGAATCAAGACTGAATAGTTCGTTTCATAATCATGAACACACTTACCCATTGTCTTTCTTTGAATCCCTTATGAGTTTGTAGATATACTGGATATAGGAAGCCATTTGCTTCACGGTGATGGTGGTGATGGTGGTAGTTTGAAACTCATTTATTCCAAATTGCATCTAAATTATCCCCCGTCAAGACTCATTAACTCCTTAACGCCGTTACTCGGACTTGAACAAAAACATTTAAGATAAAATAACGATTGTTAACGAAATTCTAACACGCAAGATTGGCTTTCTTCCTTGAAAATCACGTGATTTTCGAATAAATTGATCGGCATTAAAGGGTTGAACATGATAATTTCAATGCGCCGTACACCACCAGCGTCAGAGAGCCCAAAAAGAACCGTAAAAATTCATGATGAAAGCGCCATGGAAGCTAAAGTAGATAGATATGTAGTTGCAGAGTGCACTTAAGGAGTTTGATTTCCTGCACAACGAGGATAAGGCGGGGGCGAGCTTGAGGCCCCTCGTGACAGAGCCCCGTCCAGTGCTGATAGCACCACCCTCACCACGCACCCCCTCGCCCCAACCTGTCGTCGAGTTCCCTGAGGATGAGGTAGATTCAACTGTTGAGGGAAAACAGATAAAAGAATGAAAATTCAATTAAAAAAAAAAACGTGAAATAATGTTTTTGTGTCGAAAAAATGCTAACAAATGAGAGAATTCACTATCATGATTCAATAGTCTGTGTTTCTAACGCTAACGTTGAATCTAAAATCACTAACTATATTTAGAAATTCTTTTGCAACAATGGGACTGCTTTTATAATGATTTTTACGACAGACCAGTGATTCTGGATCAAAGGAAGTTGAGGGATAAATTTGGAGCCACATGCATGAGTAATTTTGCATCGGGTTATTGGGATTGTGCACTCGACCGAAAAAAAAAAACCTGGTGCAGGGCTTTGTTGTGTATATGAATTTAACTAATGGATTAACAGTGCGAGACGAGTCTAACTTTTTTTTTGTGATAAAAAAATGAAGTAATATTATTTAATATTTGAAAGGGCATGTGTGATGGTTTGTATTTGGGTCAGTCCAAAGAATGATAACTCATTGACGATTTTTTTATTGCTCAGGTGGTGTATGAGATACCCACGAGGCCTCTCCAATATAGGGACAGTGCCTATGAGTCCAGGAGACACTCGCAGATGACTGGAATGGCTCTTGAAAACTTTAGGCTGCTTTCTGTACTCGGTCGTGGACACTTTGGCAAAGTCATTCTCTCCCAGTATAGAAACACCGGAGAATATTTTGCTATCAAGGCCTTGAAGAAGGGTGATATTATCGCTAGGGATGAGGTTGAGAGTTTGCTTTCGGAGAAAAGGATATTTGAGGTGGCTAATGCAACGAGGCATCCATTCCTCGTTAATTTATTTGCCTGCTTTCAGACTGAGGTAAACTATTCACTCAATTAATATTTATTTATTTTTTCTACTCAGTGTGAATATTATTCATTTTATCCACATTATCATATAAATGTTTTATTGTTCATGCAATTATTGTGTGATCCGAATTATTTCTTCAGTCACTGTATTTAATTTTTATCTTTATGCATCGGATGGTTTTCTCTTCAGGCACATGTCTGCTTTGTTATGGAATATGCTGCTGGTGGTGACTTGATGATGCACATACATGCTGATGTCTTCGGCGAGTCACGAGCAGTCTTCTACTCTGCCTGTGTTGTTCTAGGTCTCCAATATTTACACGAGAGTCGCATAATTTATAGGTGACTTTCTACTTCCGAAAATTATTTAGCCGTTCAATGCCTATCATTTTGAGGGGTAGTAAATGTTTTTTTATCGTGCCTTTCAGAGATTTGAAACTCGATAATTTACTACTGGATACGGAAGGCTACGTTAAGATTGCAGATTTCGGTCTCTGCAAGGAGGGAATGGGCTTTGGAGACAGAACTGGCACTTTCTGTGGGACACCCGAGTTCCTTGCCCCTGAGGTTCTCACGGAGACGTCGTACACGAGAGCTGTCGACTGGTGGGGATTAGGAGTTTTGATATTTGAAATGCTTGTTGGAGAGGTGAGAAAAAAATATTCCTCCATTAATTTTTCCCATGATTTATCATTTTTCTTTCATCTAAGTTCCTCTTACCTAAGTCCAATTGAATCTGATAAATAAAATTAATTTTTTCTCCAGTCACCCTTCCCTGGAGACGACGAAGAGGAAGTTTTCGATTCAATAGTTAACGACGAAGTCCGTTATCCGAGGTTCCTTTCACTGGAAGCCATAGCTATCATGAGAAGGGTAATTTATCATGAGTAATTAGGGCAAATTTTGCAGTTATTGGGAAGTTATGGATTGAAATTTGTTTTTAACAGCTACTGAGAAAGAATCCAGACAGAAGACTGGGAAGTAGTGAGCGTGATGCTGAAGATGTGAAGAAACAGGCATTCTTCAGGCACATATCATGGGAGGATCTCCTACTCCGACGTGTGAAACCTCCGTTTGTTCCAGTAATCGTGAGTATCTTACATCAATTTCACACGATGAGAGAACAACAGTGCAATACTGAATCCACTCTTCCTGCTTTCTATAGCATTCTGTGGAGGACGTTAGCAACTTCGACGAGGAGTTTACATCTGAAAAACCCCACCTGACACCTGCCAAAGATCCTCGGCCACTCAGCGACTTGGAGCAGGGTCTTTTCCGCGATTTTACGTACATGGCTGATTGGTGCTAACGAACCTATTAAATTCAACTGAGCGATTAAAAAATACTCGATCAAATGTGGGATTAATTCCTGAACAATTGATGTACTGTTGGAACAAAGTGGGCGGTCTCGGCGATGGGGAAGAGATAGGAAGGGGACAAGTGGGGTAAAAACGATGAGAGGCAGTGAAACCAGACTGATGGGACAAAGCAGACATTTACTTGCTTATCCCGAGGTCATTTGGTCACTGGATTTGTATATTAAAAAAAAAAGAAAGATATCATTTTAATCATCCTCAAGCGAATTATGCAATACAATTCACAACGGCTTGAATGCTTAAATGTTAAAATGTGGCAGGAAGACAGTTATTTATCATGAAGATTTATCATTAATTATTATCATTATTTCTACGCGATTATCGTTTATGAGAGATACTCGATAGTTTCAGTTGGTATACGACAGATTTAATTAGTGGAGAGAAATGGAAAATTATCGGAGGCTCGGGTTGAGGGTTCAGTCACACTGCAGACAGAATTGCAGCTTTTTTTCTTTCTAAAGCATTTAAAATTGCTGTATTTCGAGGTCCGGATGTGCGATGATTTCATCGAATCGTCGCATTTCATTGGATATTCACTTGCTTATTGCGATATGCGATGCAATCGAGTTCGTTGAGCTAACTCACTGTGGATGGTTTTTAGATACATTTTTTTTGGATTCAATCATGATGAAAGGGGGATCGAGGAGTATACATAATCAAACGAACTTTTTTGAGCAAAATTTCATGTAGAAAATGTAGCAGTATCAATGAAACAATGCTTTTTGCGCCAGGCAACTACGTGGTATTTTTGTGAGATTTTTTTCTCAATTAATATTACGGAAATAACCACATGTGATATGTAAAAGAAATGGTATCGAGGGATAATCCAGTTGCCTTAAATGAAATGAAATTCAGTTTTATTTGTATTCGGTTATTCTTGTTTTTTTTCCATTAGGGGATTCTGTTTTTGTACATTGTGACTTAATACATTGTCGGTGCTAAACGAGGCTAATATGAAATTGTGAGGATTCGCTTATTTTTTATTTCTTCTTTTTCGTGTAATCGTCTTATACTCCAAGTGGCCTTAGCAGCTTTACACAAAAGGAGGAAACTAGAATGTCTTTTTGAACTATTTTTTTTGTAGAATATGTGAATTTTTTCCTACGCGCTCTGGATTTCTATTGACGTCAGGCAGATCATTACGTGTAGCTATTCATCCTCTCTTTTCGTACGTAAACAATGAGAAACCGGATGTCCGGCCTATTTTCGATAAAATCATTGGAACTGTTTATCTGAATTCGTGAGGTCTATTTATCAGTGGCGTACAGTAATGGCGATGGTATCAGAAATATCAATTAATCAGGGTAATTTATCATAATGTCTCACGCTATTTTTTGACTTTGATATGAAACTTTACTCGTTAGTGGGAGTAGATGCAACATTTTTTATCAACTGTCTGATACGCCCAGTCATCGTCTACCTCACGAGAATCAATTGATGAGTCTTCGTGTAATGATTAATTCCTTCTCTTTTTCGTTCTTTAACGAACTGATTCATTCGTTGATTCTGTCCACTTATCAATTGTGTACTATTTTAATTAACAATTATACATAGGTATACACACGTGCTGTAAATCATAATATACAAAAGCGAATACTAACAGATTGTAAGATAACATTTTTTTGAAGTAATCGATTATAATGAATTTGTAAGATGAAGTGAGATGAGAAAATATGAAAAATATTAATGGTAGTGATGAAACAGACTGATGTTCGCTTTTCTTAATGTTTTCTTCATTAATTGGGAAATTCTAATCGGTGGGTGCTTGATCCTGTTCATCATCTGCTCCGAGTTTCGCCATTTCGTACAGATTGTGACTATTTATTCGTAATTCTTTGCCCAATTCGTTCCTTCTCTTGCATGATAAACGAATTTCGTTGTGCTCCTGTGGGGCCAGGGGTTTCGTCAAACCTGAATTTATGGTGTAGAACATACTCGTGCCGTCGCCATTTTTTGAAACCAGTGTAAAACTAAAAATTACGAGCACAAAATATAAAAGAGCAAGGGGTTTGTCATTTATTTGCGACTAGTAGAATTGAAATGGAATTTAATTTCAGCAATTCATTCACCGTTCGATGCTCAGTTGTTTTTGGATGTTCTCGATATCCTGGAGCTTTATGTTATGTTTAAGTGCCCATGGTACGTAAGTCTCTTTCTGGGAATCTTTATTTTTCTTAGCCTCGATGTAAATTAAATCCAGGGAGGACTCATATTTGTACTCAATTTCCCAAAGTTTTTGTTCTATATTTTATCAACATCGTCAGAGTTGTTATCCAAATAGCAATTATAATTATTATAATTATTCAATTATTGAATTTAAATCAAAACATTATCAAATTCTCATATTTACCCTCGCACAATTCAATATAAACGTGAAACGCTGTTGTGATCTTCACGTCGTCCTTGCAACCCAATTCGCAAATCGCATAATACTGTAATTAAATGGCTCATACTTAACGTGTCATCAATTAATTTCAAATGTTCGCGTGTATTCGCGTCCCCATCGGGAGTGAATACCGGGAAATGTCAACCCTTGGCAGTTCCATCTGTATATTCAGTTCCAGGGAATGTGTCTATTTCATTTTCATTAAATGAAACATAAAATAAACGTTCTCAATCTTTTCGAATTAATTCAGTAACTGCTTAATTCCATATGAACGCGGAATTGTGTCTCATACTCACACTGGGATGACAAACGTCGTACATTTTCTTGGACTGAGAAGCCTCACGACTTCGTACACGTAAACAAAACGAAAACCGAACCACGAGTTAGACAAAAAAAGGTAGGGCCCAAAGAGGATTGACTGAAGTAGAGGCTCAGTTCTGGGGGTTCGAGTGACCCCAGCGGCATCGTAGTATTGCACCCCAAGAAAGAGAGGGCGTCACACGCAATTGGGGGTGTCTGCTCGTTAGACGACTCAGCGACTCTTCAGTAGCAGTCCCGCTACCACAGGAACCAGTCGAAAGGGAACTCCCACAGAACATTAGAGATCCTGACATCCACAGGGCAGCAGTCTGGAAGAGATATTTTTACTCAATATAAATATAAATAATAATTTTTTCATGGAATCATGTGCCTTAATACTGACCAGAATTGGTGCCCTGCACGTAACCAGCCCCACCATAGCCAGGGAATGATAAAAATGATATCTATTCGCTGTTTCAAACACTTGCTTCAATTGATCGTCCTTATATTTCCTTAAAAAAAACAATTTTGATCGCTGTATGGTATCTACATGACGTCAAAGTTTCAAAAATAGAATAGACTATAGAAGCATTACCCAGTCTCCAAAAATCAGGCAATAACAATAAATAAATTGATTCCTCTTATTTTTTATTAAAAAATAACAGCGACTTACAGCTGATGTAGCAGTTTTCGCAAACGAACCGGCATTCGAGCTGACGGGATTAGAAAACAGAACGTAATTCAATGTATCTGATACTCCCATTCCCGTTTCAAAGATCCAATCGAAGTGTTTTTGATGGTTAAGACCAAAATCCACACGCTAAATTCTCTTCAATCAATTATTTTTCACTGACTATTGTATTTTACGTGATTGCACTGTTTTTTTAAGAGAGAATTATTTATTAGGTTCAGAATTTTCGCAATTATCTTATCTCGTCAAATTGAGACTGCCCGCGGTTTTCTGTGCGCATGCGCGGAGTATCGCCTGGCGACCCCCCACTCGAGCGCCGCCTCCAATGCCCCGCCATTTTGAGTGGGGAGTCAGTCGTTCGGCGGCAGTGCGTGAGATGGTTGGTCGTGTGTCGTGTAGTGAAAATCCGTTAATATCGGGGTCCTAGTCAGGGCAGAAAACCGGCGCCGCCTGTGAACATTGAAAATACAAAGTGGGGGACTCAGTGCAAGTGATTTTGGCATGTGAAATAATCTTTTAAACAGTTTATCAGAGCATTTTAAGTGATTGAGATTTTTCGTTTGTTACACTGAACTTCGGTATTGCCGAACGGCCGCCCGGCGTCATTGTGTTTACAAAAATTCCTTTGTCCGTTTCTCGGAATTGTTCAGTGTGTGTTTAGATACGGACTGAAGTGAGAGTGCGAATTAGATTCGAAGGATTACTTTTCTCATTCAT